TTGTTTATTTTTTAATTGTGTGGTAAAAACGGGGATTCTCAGATTAAAACCACAAATTGCAGTGGCCGTAGATAAACCGATAGAATCCTTTAGGTCATTAGTCATATACCGAAAGAAGTATTTACTTAAAAGTTAAGTTTTGACAGCCAAAGAGGAGACCAGATGGGCTTACTCTGTCACAATATAAATACACCTTACAAAAGACCTTTTAGGTCTTCTTCTATTGTGACATGTCTTGTATATACCGAAAACTTTCCGGCATATGTTGGATAGAAAAGCTTTAACTGGTCCTTAATTGTCAGAAAATCGTCTCACATATCGTGAGAACTTCAGATAACTTCTTCACAGATTTTCTATGGAGAGAGGACCTTTCACAGGTCTTCATTTAATAAGAGACTTTTCACAGATCTTCCATATAGATCTTACACAGGTCTTCTTTAGATGGAATGTTTTTTTATAGAAAATCGTACTTCAGGTCTCCTTTAAATAGTCTTCTTCAGAAAAACAATGATCCTCTTTTTATTCTTTTGATAGCAAATGCCTCTGTGGAACTTCGATTTGGTTTTAACCAAACTAGTAACACGTTGCCTATTGTCATTTTCCGGTGACAACAAGACCATGTTCATGATGTATGAGTGACTGTGTGTGTGTGTGCGTGAAAGTTGTTATAGAAAATTATAAATGCATTTCGTTTCGTTTAGTAACATTTTGTTGGAAGAATAAAAATAAATTGCAAATTACACTATTTTGCCATAGAAATCTGCGTTACATTAAATTATTTGTATTGTAAACAAAAAAAAAAAACAAAAAAGAAGACAACAACACCAAAAACAAAACTAAACAAAACAAAAACAACAAAAGCCATCAGTGACAATACATATAATTAGGTTATACAAAATAGTGTGACATTTGTACATAATAAATAAATTATTATAAAAATAATTATGTTTTTGTTTATTTGCTTTGTACGTATGTGCAAGAGTATGAATGTAAACTTATGGCATCATTAATATACAGGAGGATATCCGTTTTTGAGGGGAAAAGATAATTTCATGATTTTTTTTTCGTTATAAAACATTTGTGGCTATTGAAATTACGTGATAGGTCTTTTGATTTACGGTAACTTGAAATAAGAGTATTTCTACTCACTCTAAGGGATTTGAATTACCATAACTTAAGTTAAGGCCAAATTACTCATTATGTAAGAGTCATATGTAAAGTTACTTTTTCCATATTTATATTTAGCATACTTTTAGGCACTCTCAGGATTTTTTAAAAACTTTAGCATACATAAATATATTCATGGTATAGGTATGATATAAATACAATATATGTATAGGGTATATATAGTCTTCGGCACTATTACGGATAAAAATGCAAGGCATATTCGGTTGGAAAATTTGACCCTCAAGCGAGTCAAAAAGGGGTCTTTTTAGTAATTTTTTCTAAAAATGGTTTGAAAATGCAATAAAACGGCCTCGTGCCAAGTCAAAATTTTCACAAAATTAGTTGCCATAAAATTCTACTATAGATTCTAGAAGGCGGCAAAAGTCTAAATCTTACCTAAACCTCAGGAATTCATTAAAGCCGTGAGTTTGTGCCAAAATCTCCAACAAAGCATCATTTTAAAAAGATGACTTCAAAAACAAAAATATTCTTCATCAAATTTCACTATAAGTTACTGAAGAAATTAAATCTCTATTTCCAATTAAAATTAAGAAAATATATACATCAATATTTGCAAAAAAAGACTTTTTCGATTTGTCGCCTGAAAGTAACATAAAATTTCATTTTTGGCGGAACATACCGAAAGAAAAAAATATTCTACACAAGATTTCAATATAAATCTCAAAATAAATTATATATCTGGGTACAATAGTTTTTATGAAAATTATATTCAAAGTTTATGTTTTACATGTAAAAATTATATCTATGCGTTTAGTATTGTTACTTTAACACGTATCCATTCCAAGTCAAAATCTCCATTTATATTTGATTTTTTGGGGTTAGTGCCAAAGGAAGAATTATTCTAGATCAAATTTCATTGTGAGTCTCTGAACAAAAGAAATTTATATATTCAATATGTACCATGAAAAAATATCATCAACTGCTGTTAATGAAAAACCTTGTTTATTTCTTTTTCTACGGAAGACCTTCTAAATATCTGCTATTCTTAGAAGATTTTTAATAGATCCTCTGTCAATAGAATACATTCAGATTGTCTTATTTCTTTGAAAGGCCTGAAAAGTGTCCTCGGCCTCTACAGAACCTTTGGCTAATATTCGGTCTGTTAACAGCATCAAAACGGTATTTTTTCCATAAGAAATCTACTAAATTTTAATCAAACTTTGAAAAGTTTTTCAGTCTTTAAAAAAATATATCTTTGGCCTGTAGAGATCAAAAGATCTTATCTAAGTGGCAGACCAAAATAGTAATTTCCTCATACGTATATCCTTTCTATAATACACCCTCGAAATGCCCTCTTCCTATAGAGGGCATTTGGAAATCTTTAGTCTATGAAAAGTAAACGGTCAAGTCTCTTTTGGAGGTCTTTGAAATTGTGTTAATCTTTAGAAAAGTTCTTGAGTTTATAAAATACTTTAACATTGGTTTTAGCCTTAGAGAACGGCCAAAAGATCTATTGCCTTCAGGAGACTTTCAATATGTCCGCTCTCTATGGGATACCCTCAAACGGCCTTTTTATACCCTCCACCATACTATGGAGGGTATATTAACATTGTCATTCCGTTTGTAACTCCTCGAAATACTCATGTCAAACCCAACAAAGTATATATATTCTTGATCAGCGTAAAATTCTAAGACGATTTAGCCATGTTCCTCTGTCTGTCTGTGTGTCTGGTCTGTCTGTTGTAATCACGCTATCTTTCGAACAAATTGAGATAGAAGGCTAAAATTTTGCACACATGTATATTTGGCCAGTAGGCAGGTTAAGTTCGTAAATTGGCCATGTAGGTCCAAGTCATCATATAGCCCCCATATAAAGGTACCTCCCGATATTCGGTATTTTGATGATTTTAGCGACATTATTCACCGGAATTGTTTCAAATTTGGCATTTGAAGTTCGCAATGGATGCTACATCCTAAGTCAAAAAATTAGCCATGCAGGTCCATGTCTTCGTATAGCCTTCGAAATTTTGATGATTTTAGCGACATTATTGTTTCAAATTTCGCATGTGAAGTTCGAAATGAATGCTTCAGCCCATGCCAGAAAATTGTCTGTGCAGGTCCACGTCTTCGTATAGCCCCCATATAACGGTACACCCTATATTCGGTATTTTGATGATTTTAGCTAAATTATAAACGATCAAATTAAATATTGTAATAACTTATGACAAAAGTTGCCTATGCAGGTCCACGTCGTCGTATAGGCATTCGGCCCGGTCGAACTTACAGCTTTTTTACTTGTTTCTATTGAAGTCTTTCAAATGGTCCTCTTTCGTAAAAAGGCATGCAATAGGTCTTCTCTAAGTGGGAGATCCCAAAAGTTATTCCCTCATAGGTATACCCTCAAAAGGGTTTCCGTCTGCAGGAGACATTTATAAGGACTTCCATTTATAGAAGACCTTCGAAAGATAATCTGTAAATATTCAGGATTAATGACTGTGATAATAAGAGACTACCTCTCACCGATACTCAACTTCAGAGCGGCCAAGATTTTTACTGCAAAAAGAGGACTGTGTCCATTAACATGCCACCTACAGTTTTGGACGTCAGTCGGACCCGCTTTTTTCCATCAGCATATCAAAACCAGATAATTATGTTCCAAGTGGAAATTCTGAGCATTTTGAAGATCTTTCAGCTGGTGGAAATCAAACTATACGGTTCAGAGAACCTATTGTCCTCTCTCCATGGGAAACCTTCAGGCCTTCTTTGGAAATCTTTAAAATGGGATTCGTTCTTGAGAATACCTAAAAGACCTATTTTAGGTCTATGTTGGAGACCTCAAAAGTAATTCCCTTATAAGAAGATCCTTCAAAGGCGCCCTGTCTACAGGAGAAGGACTTTCGTCTATAGAGGAGGATCAAATGATAATCTGTAAATCTTCAAGATTAATGACCTTTCACCTATACTTAACTTCAGCACATTTGGACGTCAATCGGACCGGATTTTTTTTTGTCAGGATATATAGGATCTGACCGTCATAACAATGGGGATTATATCCAAAAGGATTTCGGGCATAAATTCCATTATGTTGTCATAATTTTACTGTACAATAGCCAATCTGGGCTACGGACTTATAATCCTCGTATTTTTGCCTGCAATATTGCCGAAGGCACTATATACCTAACATTAACGGATTCCGAGGAATGTTTATCCTTGCCTCCTCTAATTAGAGGTTACTTTTCTATGTAAACTTTTAAAACGTCGATACACATGTCTTCTATTTTTTAGCTCTACTTTAATAATCTGCTGGATATTTTTTGTGTCCACAGTATTGTTGTTAATATTTATTTAAATAAGAAAAGGTTCCGAAAGCACTCAAAAATTTAAATTGCAACCTTGGTTCTATATTAAACTGGAAGTTGGAGCAACATTGATATATATAAAGACTCATGCACAGTCCTAATAGTGACACCTCCGCCAATCTGTACAATATGGAAAATATATTTTCAAATTAATATATCAAAATGCATTCTAATTCAAAATTGTTTTATATGAAACAATTAAACTTAACTAGCTTAACTTAAATAAATAGTTTATTATATGTTTTAATTGCAAGAAATTATGCAAAAACAAAGCCTTAATTTGTTATTTTACACATATACAATATACACACGCACACACACACACACACACAATATATAATTGTAAATACATAAATTTAAATAACACTCACACACTTACACAAACAAACATTACCACTAATTGCATACTTATAACTCCAACATCATCATCATCCAACCATAGAGAAAATCCGCTCACTTTTGTATATTTGCCATAACATTGTATATATGTATATATATATTGTGAAATTCCAGGGTCCAATTTACAATAATGTCCATTACCATGCCCCAACACCACAACAACAACACCAACAGCAACCACACCCCCAACATCCATATTATTCAAATCAAGCACAACAACAGCAACCAACATCTTACATTAATGCCACCACTACTTCCACTAACAACAACCATGCACGTGAAACTATGCCACCTAATAGTCATAATCAAGGGGAGAACGACGAGCCGCTCTACGAGCCATTCCCACCCCAAACTCCCGAAGCTCCAATTGTGTTGATAGACAAGCAATTCAGCAGGTTGCCATCACAGGAGCCAATGCAAATGAACTATGGTCCTGCTGCTTCTGCTGCACAGCATCACAAGCAGCCAGAATGGCAACAGCAACAACAACCACGTGAAGAACCACCAAAACAAATGCCAGCAAGCTTTAACCAACAACCTACACAATATTATCAACAGCAATATCTGGCAAGCAATCGAAACCAACAACAGCAACCACCAACCCACCAACAACAACATCCGCAATATCCGCACACTCAACACCAACACCCTGCACAATACCAGCCCGCCGAGCCGCATCATGAGCAGGCGACTTCCACTGGCGGCCACGACTGGTATTACATGGATCGACCACAACACAACCCTAATCAACAAGAATTTGCTAATGCAAAACCAACTGGGCTAGGTCAGGACGAAACCCTCAGCCCAGCTCAGCCCATTTATCAAAAGCAATATGAATCCTATCACCAACAACGTCAACAACAGCACGAGTTCTATCAACAACAATATAAAGATGAACTTAAGGTATTCTCGGCCAAGTTGATGGGGCAGGAAAGCTTAAAATCAAAAATGCAATGCAAAGCTTCGTTTTTATTTTCTTAGTAAAGCTTTGAAGGCAAGCCAAAGCGGCATAGTTAAACTTAAGGTAGCTGAAAAAAGTCTATAGATGCGTAGATGATTTAGAAAAAAGCTTTGAGGGAAAATGAGCTTTATCTGTTATAGTTTCGTTTTGGAAGAGAAGCTTTTAAAAAGAGAGACCTAATTGGAGATGGGAAAACAACCTTTAAAAATTAATGTGGTTTTTTTCTCTTTCTCAAAGAGAGATGAAAAAAATTCTGCGTGTAAAATCGGTTCATGGAAAATTACAAAATAATAGGAATCGGTCTGCTATCTGTAAAAGACCTGTAAAGGACTACTGTCTATAGAAGACCTGTAAAATTTCTTCTGTCCAAGAAGACATGTAAAAGTTATTCTGTGCATAAAAAGAACTCTTGAAGGTCTTCTGTCTATGGAAGTCCCTAGCCTAGCTTTAGCAGGCTTGTAGCAGACCCGTTAAAGCCTTCATATCAATAGAAGACCTGTAAAAGGCCTTCCGTCTATAGAAGGCTTGTAAAAAGTCACCTATCTATAGAACACTTGTAAAAGGTCTCACATCCATGGAAGACCTGTAAAAGGTCTCCTATCTATAGAAGATCTGTTAAAGGTCTTCTGTCTCTAAAAGACCTGCAAAAGTTCTTCTGCCCTTTAAAAGCTACATTGTCAATAGAAGTCCTTTAAAAGCTTCATTGTCTATAGAAGACCTGTAAGTGGTCTCCTATTTATATAAGCCCTTGGAAGACCTGTTAAAGGTCTCCTATCTATTAAAGACCTATAAAAGGCATTTTATCTATAGAAGACCTATAAAAGATCTCCTTTCCATAGAAGGCCTGTAAAAGGTCTCCTATCTATAAAACCTGTTAAAGGTCTTCTATTTTTATAAGACCTGTAAGATGTCTCCTATTTATATAAGACCTGTAACACGTCTCCTATCTATTGAAAAACTGTAAAAGGGTTCCTATCCACAGAACCCCTGTAAAAGGTCTCTTATCTTTAGAAGACCTATAAAAGGTATCCCATCTATAGATGACCTGTTAAAGGTATCCGTATCCATAGAATATCAGTTAAGGGTGTTCTATCTATAAGAGACCTGTTAATGGTTTCCTATTCTTAAAAGACCTTTTTATGGTCTCCTATCTATAGAAGACTTTAACTACCTTTAATCTATCCATAGAAGACCTGTAAAGGGTCTTCTATCAATAGAAGACCTGTAAAAGGTCTGCAATCCATAGAAGACCTGTAAGAGGTCTGCTATCCATAGAAGACCTGTACAGGGTCTCCTCCGTAGAAAATCTGTTAAAAGGTCTTCTGTCTTTAGAATAACCTTTGAAGGCCTGAGTCTATAGACTTGTTAAAGGTCTTCTGCCTACAAAAGACCTGTATAAGTTCTGCTGACTAATAGAAACCTGTTTAAGGCCTCTACTCTTTTTTTCCCAAGGAAAATATATAGAAAGTCTTCTGTCAATAAAAGAAAAATGTTATGTCTTACGAAAATTAAGGTCTTCTCTCTATAGTGGACCTAAAAAAAATATCTTCAGGCTATAAAGGGTCTAAGGGACACATAGAAGTCCTTAAGGTCTTCTGCTTGTCCATTAGAGTTTTCACTTTTCTTTCAGCCACGAGTTTTTGAAAGACATTTAGGTCATTATTTTGTGGGACGTACAATTAATTCAACAATTCTGAAAGTGGCGAAAGTGTATAAACTATAAATAATATTAAATATTGATAATAAATAAATGTTAATTAACTTACAGTAACTAACCTCTAAAGAAAAGAGCACATTTAATTTTGAGAATGACTAGCGCTGCTTTAGATATCATTCATCCTTCAATTGTGTCAGCAGGATTTGGAAATCTAATAGCTTGAAAATGAAAATTATGAAAAACTTACAAAATTTTATTCACAGCAACGAATGATAGCAAACCAAAAGCAACAAGAGCTACAACAACAGCATCACCAACACCAGTACAAACCAAGCAATCCACAAACTCAAAATTATCCCCAACAACAACACCACCCCACACAATATCAACCTTTCGAACGTGATGCATCGACCCCCAGTCGCATGAGGTACCTGGAGAGATCACAAACCCCCAAACCGGAATATGGCAAGACCGTAAGGCTAGTCGGTCATGATGGATCCACCACCACCACCACCCACCCAATAGCCAAACCCATATATCAAAGACAATATGATTCATATCACCAACAACGTCAACGACAACACGAGTTCTATCAGCAACAATATAGACAAGAACTTCAGGTATTCGCGTCCTACTGAGAATAGACTTGAAAAGCTTTTTTTGTGTAGAAAATGATTGGAAAAGCTTCAAGGACCACAACGAAGGCCTTATGTGTGTGGATGATTTGTAGTGAAGCTTGATGGAAAATTGTAGAGAAATGTTGTAATAAGATTCGCGATGAATGCAAGCTTTTTTGTGTAGATAATAATTATAAAGCTTAAGGAACCAAAACAAAAAAGCTTTATTTGTGTAGAGTAGTTAAGCATTGTGGAGAAGAAATTGGTTACTGCAACAAATCTCCTGTCAATGACACCGTCAATGGCTATTGCCTCGAGTTGTATGATAGGACTTTTTGACTTTTGCCATGGCATTTGCGAGCTTTTGTTATTTTGGATATGCCGCAAGTTTTATGAAATAAGCATCATGGTCCAAAGAGAAGGACTAAACTATGGAATGTTTTTTTTTTTTTTTTGAATTGGTAATGCTGCAGCAATGTAAAATTATGGAAACCATCAATAAATGGATAAAAAAAACAACTTGACAAAAAAACAGAATGCGCTTTTATTAACTAACTTCTATCTAACAAACAATTCATAATGGAAGGGCAACAAGAACAGTGGACCTCTCATAGAATATTTTCAATGAGTATTTTTTTAAAATAGAAATAATATTTTTTCAAAATATTTTCTATAATGAGGAATGATTTATAGATGGAAGATATTTCAAAATAACCTATAGAATACCTCTTCAGGTCGTCATTGGATAGAGGAACTTTCAAAAGCTCTTCTACAGAAAGAAAGTCTGTTGTGGATTGAAACCCCTTTAAACGGGTTTTCCTTTATTCAATAAAAATATTTTTGAAGGGTCTCCTATCGTCCGACCTATTTCATAGAACTACTTTCAAAAAACCTTCGACGGAAAAGCTTTTGAAAGTTTTTTTTATACCCTCAGCCATATGGCTAGAGGTGGAAATAACGGTTTTAGACCCTAGGTATCTTTGGACCAAATCCGTTTCAGGAAATTTGGAGTCGATCTAGCGATGTCCGTCTGTTTGTCTGCCTAGCTGCTGCGCACGATAACTCTCGAAGGGATTACCCGATTTCGTCCAAACTTGGTACATCGTAATATTTTTGTCAAACTTATATCGAGTTTGGAGATAGGCAATACCGGTCCACTACTTCTGGTACCTCCCCCACAAAAGATCGAAATTTTCAAAAAAATATATTTTTTTGCACAGAAACGATAATTCGATTTTACTCTAAATCCAAATATTTGCATCAGTGCTAGGTCAGGTGCGAAAATTGACAACATCGATCTTCTCTATCAAGTACCTACCCCAGAAAGGGTCACAATTTTGAATAATTACAATCTTATAAAATAGGAAAATAAGAGTCCGACTGTCTTCAAATTTCACATATACCAATAATTTTATTAACCTAAGGCCAGGTGCTAAGATGGAACATATCGGTCCACTCCGTCTGGTACCACCCCCCCACAAAAGGTCGAAATTTTCAAAAAAAAAATATATTTTTTACACAGAAAGAGAAAGGAAAATCCGATTTTGCTCCAACTTTGCAAATCCCAATATTTGCATCAGTGCTACGTCAGATGCGAAAATTGGACAATATCGGTCTACTCTATCAAGTACCTCCTCCACAAAGGGTCAAAGTTCAAGCTCATAAAACACAAAATTAACATCCGATTCCATTCAGATATGGTACATCTAAATATTTCCATAAAACCAAGATCTGTTACAAACATGGTAGAGATCGGAAGTTTCCTTCTGATACCTCCCCCACAAAGGGTCAAAGTTTTGAATAACCAAAACGTTTATAAAATCCGAAAGAAGCATCAGGTTCTCTTTTTATTACACTCATTCCATTATTTCTACTAGCACAAGATCTGTTGTGAAGATGGGATATATCGGTCCTCTCTTTCTGGTACCTCCCCCCATAAAGGGTCAAAATTTTAAATGTCCATGGAGTTCATAAAATGCGAAATTAGCATCTGATTCCATTCAGACTTTGCACATCTCAATATTTTCATCAACACAAGATCTGTTATTAAGATGGTATAGATCAGACTTTTCCTTCAGGTTCCTCCCCCACATAGGGTCAAAGTTTTGAATAACCAAAACTTTTTTAAAATCCAAATAAGCATTCACCTCTCTTCAAATTTCACACATACAAACATGTTTGCTAACACCAGATCTGTTGTGAAGATGAGACATATCGGTCCTCTCTTTCTGGTACAAAATTTTGAATGTCCATGGAGTTCATAAAATGCGAAATTAACATATGATTCCATTCAGACTTTGCACATCTCAATATTTCCATCAACACAAGGTCTGTTTAAAAAGATGGTAGAGTTCGGACCATTTCTTCTGGTACCTCCCTCACACAGGGTTCAAGATTTTGAGAAACCAAAGGCTCAAAGTAAGCCAAATAAGCATTCAACTCTCTTCAAATTTCACACAAATTTCAAAGATGATATATAGCTGCGAACCCCTTCTGAGCCCCTCGCCCACAAAGGGTCACTATTTTCAAAACATTTATCTGTCATACAATTTGCTATTTCTCTCAACCAGAAACTTGGGTTGAATATGGAATTTATGATTTGGCATAAATTTGTATGTAAATGTTCGTATTAGATGAAGAATGAAAATGGAATACTTCGGTCCGCTATATCTGCTACCTTAGGTACATTTCCTCATTTCCCAAAAATGTGCACATATCTCATATAAAGTATAGTAAGTAGTCGATATAGTCCAAATCTGGCACGTTGTAATATTTATTATTTCAGTCTTAGGTCAGATATGAATTGGTCAATATTGGTCCACTGCCTCGGAACCTCCCCCATAAAGGGGGAGTCGGCAAAACCGACTGATACTATTTTACTTGTTTTAAAAGGCCTTCATCGGAAAAGCTTTTGAATTTATTTTAGGTAAAATTTTACCTATTCATGGAACACCTCCTAAAAGGTTTTTTTAGCCAATTTTTTTAGCTCCAATGCCTCCTTTGACTCATTTTTATCTATGAAATATCTTTTAAAAATTCCACTTTACACAGAAAACACTTGGAAAGATCTGCTATACATAGAGCCCTTTGGATGACCTCTTGAAGTCTTCGTATTTTAATAACTCGAGAGGAAAGAAGATCTTTCAAATCCTTTAGCAACAAGAACCCATTTTACAACAGAAAACTTTTTTTAAAATATCTGTTAACCGAGTTTACACACATTAATGTTCCCTTCTAATTTGTATTTTGTTACTTTATTTTGTGCATGCATACATCGTAAAACCAAAAACAATTTTTTGTTAATTCATGTATATATAGTAGCTAAGTTTTATTTAGAATACAATTTGCATTAATAATAATAAAATAAAACCAACAAAATTTGCTTTTCTTTCTTCATAACATTTTACAGCAATTACAGCGAGCTTAATAATTAACCCTGAATCCAAAGCTGATGTAAACAAGAAACGAATTTTGCAGATAACTAAACCATAACGAAAATAACAAACTTCCGATCTAATTCAAACTTTTTTCTATCCACATTCAAACCCTCACTTTCCACCCAACCACTCACATACACACCATACCCTCACATATACACCATACTAATGTGGTTTTTTGTCTTTTCTATTTTCTTCTCACTACCACCACCAACAACACCACCACCACCACCACCATTACTCTGTCTGTCTTCCAAACTGTGCACCTCCAATACCACACTGTCATCTCTTCAATCCAATCCAATTATGTATGCGTGAATATGAATCACTCGAACCCCATGTGATGTCCACACACAACAAATGTATATGTTAACTTGCTACAACAGCAACAATACCAACAACAACAACCAAAACAATATTCCCCACAACCCCAATACCAGGGCCAGGGACCGGTAGGCAATCAATACAATCAATACCAGCAACCCCAACAACCTCAACAGCCCTACCAGCAACCAACAACCTGGGTACAGGAGCAACATTTACCCCAGCCCTATAAGCCACCAACTCAACAGGCTCAATATCAACAGCCCCAACAACAACAGCCTCAGTACCAGGCTTCATCTTACCAGCCAACCCCTCAATACCAGGCCTCATCTTATCAACCCCAACAGGCCCCATTGAACAATCAATATCAAACTCCATATCAAAATCAATATGTATCGCAACCCAATCAACAACAATTTAATTCTTATTCACAGCCTCAACAACAACAACACCAACAGCCACTTCAACAAAATGTCCAAAATGTCTCACATGGCAGCGATCAATTGGATAATTTGAAACAGCATGATCAACGCGGTGCCAGTCCCGGTATTATTTCCTTGCGCAAAGAGGCTCCCATCTCTCAGGCACCCGCTCCAGTCTACACCTCTCAGCCGGCAGCCGTAAGCTTCCCGGGTAAGTAGAAATGTGCTTCTCTCGTTGACCCCCATGGCATTTGCTATTAACTAATTGAAGGTGATGATGATCTTTCAGGCGGCAGCAAATTGCGTGGAGACTTGAAGTGGCCACCACCAGAGTACAAGGAAGCTGCTGCTCGTGAAAATGAGGAACGCCGTCAATTAGCTTTGGGACCAGTCTGTAGGCCAAGAAAAGTCAATCGCGTAAGTAGAAAAATGTGATAAATAAAAACGCAAAAAACACTAGACAAGTAAAAACTAATTGTGCGTTCGGCCGGGCCGAACTTGGAATACACTCCATCATTTGAAACAAATTTGGCAATTTTCAAAAAAATAAATTTAAAAATACCAAATGTAGCCGTCATATCAGGGTCTAAATGACGACGTGGACCTGTGTAGGCAACTTTTGTCATAAGCCATTACAATATTCAAATGTGAAACAATTTTCTGCCTTCGGCTGCGGTATCCATTACGAATTTCAAATACCAAATTTGAAACAATTCCGGTGAATAATGTCGTTAATATCATCAAAAAACCGAATATCGGGAGGTACCGTTATACGGGAGCTATACGAAGACGTGAACCTTCACAGACAATCCCCTGTCATATGCTGTAGTATCCATTACGAACTTCAAATACCAAATTTGAAACAATTCGGGTGAATAATGTCGCTAAAAGCATAAAAAAACCGAATATCGGGAGGTACCGTTATATGGGGGCTATACCAAAACGTGGACCTAAATGGCCCATTTTCAATAACAATAGTCCTGATGACATGATATACATTTGAGTAAAATTGTATTAATCTACTTTATTTCGTTCGGAAGCTAGAGTGATTTTCACAGACGGACGGACATCGCTAAATCGACATAGAATTTTATGCTGATCAAGAATATATATACTTTGTGGGGTCAAAAATGTATATTTCGTGGTGTTACAATCGGAATAATAAACTTAATATACTTTCCATAGTATGGTGGAGGGTATAAAAATGTGATAAACCAGTAAAGAAAGTCTTAAAGTCGGGCGGGGCCGACTTTATGATACCCTACACCACTTTGCTAATTTAGTAGAGCTCCACATAACAATAAAAGTTTTTATGGGAGAATTCAATCATACACGCTATGATTATAATTATAATTTAAAGTTCAAAGGACTAAATATGCCGAAGCATTTGTATCTTTCAAATTCGGAATTGTATTGCCCATTTGGTGCACAATTAATTTGAAATCGGATAAAGATATATATGGGAGCTATATCCAAATCTGAACCGATCTCGATAAAATTTGGCAAAGATATTTTTGAGCTGTATTGGATATATTTCCCTGAATATCGTTGTTACGGAGTGCATATTACGTTTGTGGGTAACAAATATAACAAATCGGATGAATAATATATATGGAAGCTATAGCTATATCTGAACCGATCTTCACCAAATTTGACATACTAGATTCTAGACTCAATTCGGTCGTAAGTGCCAAATTTCATCCAATTTGGGCAAATATTAGACGCTTGGTGCACAATCAAAATTAAATCGGACGAAGTTATATATTTAGCAAATGTATTTCTGAGCAAATGTATTTCTGAGCTGTATTTGACATATTTTCCCAAATATTGTTGTTGCATAGTGCATATTACGGTGGCGGTGGACAAAAATAACAAATCGGATGAACAATATATATGGGAGCTATAGCTATGTCTAAACCGATTTCGATCAAATTTGGCATACTTATTTTCAGGTCCAATCTGATCGTACGTGCAAAATTCCATATTTTTCGGACTGATATACTACCATATCTAAATTTTGACCGAATATCTCCAATTTCAATAGGGTTCGTCCTTGGGCCAAACAAATGATTTGTGCAAAATTTCATCTGGATAGGGCAATAAATGCGACCTGTACTTTGTTTACAAAAATACATGGACAGACGGACGGTCGGACGGACATGCATAAATCGACTAAGAATGTGATTCTATGCAGATCATCAAAAGGAACTATGGGTCTGTCTTGTTTCCTTTTGCCTGTTACAAACAAATGCACAAAGACATAATACCCTGACCACCTTGTGGTGTAGGGTATAAAAAAAACACAGTAAAGAAAGTCCTAAACCCTACACCACTTTGGTAATTTAGTAGAGCTCCACATAACAATTAAAAGTTTTTATAGTTGACGAAGAAATTGTTTCATTTCATTTGGGGCTTATATGGCCAATTTGGTGCAAAATTAATTTGAGATCATATAAATATATATATATGGGAGCTATATCCAAATCTGAACCGATTTCGATAAAATTTGGCAAAAATATTTCTGAGCTGTATTTGATATATTTCCCCAAATATTTTTGTTGCATAGTGCATATTACGGCGGCGGTGGACAAAAATAACAAATCGGATGAACAATATATATGGGAGCTATAGCTATATCTGAACCGATTTCGATCAAATTTGGCATACATATTTGGCTGTATATGCAAAATTCCATAAAATTCGGGCTGATATTACACGTTTGGTGCACAATAAAATGCAAATCGGACGAAGATATATATGGGAGCTATATCTAAATTTTGACCGATTATCTCCAATTTCAATAGGGTTCGTCCTTGGACCAAGCAAAAGATCTTTGCAAAATTTCATCTGGATCGGGCAATAAATGCGACCTGTACTTTGTTTACAAAAATACATGGACAGACGGACAGACGGACGGACATGCATAAATCGACTCAGAATGTGATTCTATGCAGATCATCAAAAGGAACAATGGGTCTATCTCGTTTTCTTCTGCCTGTTACAAACAAATGCACAAAGACATAATACCCTGACCACCTTGTGGTGTAGGGTATAAAAATTGGAGTTAAATTCGGCGAGTCGAGCTTTTGATAATCTCCACCACTGAGGAAAGAAAACTTAAACCATAGTATGGAGGGTATATTAAGTTTGTCATTCCGTTTGTAACACCTCGAAATATACATTTTAGACCCCAGAAAGTATATAAATTCTTGATCAGCATTAAATTATATGACGATTCAGCGATATCCGTCTGTCTGTCTATCCGACCGTCTGTGGAAATCACTCTAGCCTCCGAACGTAATAAAATACGTTGATAAAATTTTACTCAGATGTGTTTAAGGTGTGCAGGACTTTTTGTATTGAAAATGGGCTATATAGGTCCACGTTTTGGTATAGCCCATATATAACTGTACAGCCAAATGCATGATCTTTTGATAGTTTCTGTCACAAATTTAGCCCGAATTCACTGTAAACTGGCAGTATGTTTTCCATTATCTAAGAAATATTCTTGCATAGAACTATCAATGTAGGTCTGAGTTTTGGTATAGTCCTCATTTAACTGTACCTTCTTTCTTCTTTTTTTTAATGATTTTAGCGAATTGTTTCAAGTTTCGTATTTGAATGTCGTAATGAACGTCTTCGCATGGGCCCCAATATAACGGAAACTCCCTATATTTAATATTTTGGACTTGAGTAGCATTTTTTTAACGAATTTTTTATAGATTGCAATTTTTTTCAATGTATTTGTATATTTGTCATATGTCCACAGAGGGTATAATTCAAAACGTGCTCATCGAAAGAAGATAGACCATAGGTTCCTTTGGACCAAATCCGTTTTAGGACTTTAAGAGTGATCTAAGGGTGTCCGTTCGACTGTCTGTGTAGCTTTTGCGCACGATAACTGTCGAAATGAGTATCCAATTTAGTCCACACTTCTTAAACCGCAATATTATCGTCAAACTTAGATTGGGTTTAGAGATGGAAAACATCGGTCCACACCTTCTGGTACCTCCCGCACAAAAGGTAAACTTTTTCAAAGAAAGTAATTTACTTCATAGGAATAGAAAGGGTCATGCGATTTTGTGAAAACTTTGCAACTATTAATATTTTTACCAGCCCTAAGTCAGGTTCGAAAATGGACAATATCGGCCCACTCTATCAAGTACCTCACCCACAAAGGGTCAAAATTTTGGAATAATTATAAGTCTTATAAGAGCAATATTTGTTTGGATGAACCCTATTGGTGAGACTCGGTTCAAATTTAGATATAGCTCCCATATATATCTTCAACTGATTTCGGCCAATATCACCAAATGGCCAATATCAGTCCAATTGACTTGCATTTTAGCACATCCGACCGAATTCAGTCTGGAAGCAAGTACATAAAATTTAGAGAAAATCGGTTCAGATATAGCTATAGCTCCCATGTATATGTTTTATCCGATTTGTGGGTTTAAGTCCATCACATGCCCACAAGAATTATATTTTGTTCCATCATCAGATACAACTCGAAAACACGTATGCCGAATTCTATCGAGATCGGTTCAGATTAGAATATAGCTCCCATATATATCTTCATCCGATATCAGGTTTATTGTGCACCAAAAGGCTGATATCAGTCAAATGGCCTGAATTTTGGCAGTTACAAGTGAATACGTCCTAGAAACCAATACTTCAAATTTGGTGTAAATCTGTTCAGATATAGCTATAGCTCCCATTTATATGTTTATCAGATATGGGTTTTAAAATCCCTAACAATCGTAATATGCACTTTACAAGAATAGTATTTGGTACTACATAACTTATAGATACTGGAAATACCTTTGTCAAATTTTATCGAGATCGGATTAGATTAGGATATAGCTCCCATATATATCTTCATTCGATATCAGGTATATTGTGCACCAAATGGCTAATATCCCAAATGGAACGAAATTCGTCGTAGAAACAAGTACTTCAAATTTGGTGAAAATCGATTCCGATGTAGCTATAGCTCTTATACATGTGTTTCATCCGATTTGGGGTTAAGGTCCCTCACTTGCGTAATATGCACTCCAAAACAATATAAACTTTATTTAGTTATTTTGTTAAGCTCGTTCTTTTTACAAATTGTTACACAACATTTATTCCCAACTAATATAAATCTCCCACATTTTTTCATTTCACAGGATTACAGCTCATTCTTTGCCAAGAATGCCTTGAGCCATCATTATCCCAGCTACAAGGTTCCACCAGGTACCCAACATGTCACCTATTAAGCTCACCACCAACCACAACAGCAACAACAACCGCGTGCAGCTAAACAATGGAACCCCTCCCAAAGCAGCATCAGAACAATAGCAATAAAAGGATAAATGATAATACACCAACAAATAGTTAGCTGATTTAAATGAATTGTTATAACGAAATGTAAAATACTAACCAAAAACAAATGCAACAGCAACAACAAATACTTTAAATCATAAAAATTTAATCAAATTAGTATATAAGCACTATGTATATGCAGGCACTTTATGTTTTTGTTGTAAAATTATAGGATTTCCTCTCAGGTTTGTTTTCTTTTTAAGTGGATACGAACATCTTTATCCGAAAAAAGGGAAATTTTATACTTTTTTTCAACAATGTTATATAATATAAAAAATCAAAAAAAAAATATTAATTAGAGTTAAGTGTTCCTCAACAAATTCGATGTTAAACAAAAAAAGAAAAAAAACTTTGTTAAATTCACAAAACGAATGTAAATGTCCCCCAGCAAAGGTTTTGTAGAATGCGCAAAGAGAAGAAAAATAATAATTATTGTTATTTTTTTTTTTAGAACTTAAGTCCTCAATTGTTAAGCTATTTCAATTTTGTAGCTTTCAATTTAAACCAAATTAACGAAATAAATATTCAGACTAACCCCAAAATGTATTAACGAACTTTAAACGTTGTCAACCGTGCGAGGTGTACGAGAAAACAAAAAACAACCAAAACGATTTCAATCAAAACAGTTATGAACTTTTCTGTTCATAATGGCCATGATTTACAGCGATCATATTCGACTCGGTTCATATTAAGTCACACGAATATCCTTGATTTTTTATGCAATTCGGACAAAAGCATCCCAATGCACGGTTATATTTTTTAATTCATTTCTATTCATTTTTTGTGTTTTAATCAATATATTGTGTTCTCAACGTTTAACCAATAACAACTATTGAACAGAACAGAAAGAGAAAGAGAGAGGAACAACAATAATTGGATACTTAAATATTTTGTAAAGAAACAACCAACTTCTTAGATCCTTGTTGTTCTAATAATGTTATTAACCCTCCCACCTTTGTAAAGAACATAGATATATACACTTTTTTTTAAATTATTTGTTATCAATTTTATCTAACATTTTATGATTGTAAACAGTTTTGTAAAAACAAAAGAAAATCAAATAAAATTTAAAAAAACACCGTTAGAAACGGGATAATTCTTTGTTGTTTTTGTTTCTACTCGGGTGCGTTCGTTGTGATTACTTTTCTTGCAGCTATTAAGTGTGTCTGGTTACTTTTCCAGCAGGAATTGTCCAGCAACTTCATTCTGAGAGAGTAAGGTAGTTTTATTCTCTTTTGCAAGGAAAACGCAAAAAGTAAACAGACGGCAACTAATCAGCTGATTTGTCAAAACATACCAAATTGTCCCCCATTAAAAGAAAACAAGTAAAAAAGCAGTAAGTTCGGCCAAGCCGAACTTTGAATACCCTCCACCATTTAGAACGAATTTGAAATTTTTCGAAAAAGATAACATTCGCCAAAAATTCTGTTAACATTTTAAAAATACCGAATATAGCCGTTATACTAGGGCCTGTACGACGTGCACCCACATAGGCATTGATTGTCACAAGCCATTACCATATTCAAATTCGAAACTTGAACTAAAAGGCGAATAATGTAGCCAAAATCATCAAAATACCGTACATAGGGAGGTACCGTTATATAGGAGCTATACGAAGACCTGGACCTGCATAGGCAATTTTCTGTCACAGACTGTAGTTCCCATTACGAACTCTGTAGTTCCCATTACAAACTCTAAATACGTAATTTGAAACTACTACGGTGAATAATGACGCTAAGATCATCAAAATACCGAATATTATGAGGTACCGTTATATGGGGGCTATACGAATACGTGGACCTGCATAGACAATTTTCTGCTTTAGACTGTAGTATCCATTTCGAACTTCAAACACCAAATTTGAAACAATTCCGGTAAATAATGTCGCTAAAATCATCAAAAAACCGAATATAAGGAGATACCGTTATATGGGGGCTATACGAAGACGTGGACCTACATGGCCCATTTTGCCTACTGGCAAAATAAACATGTGTGCAAAATTTTGGCCTTCTATTTCAATTCATTCGAAAGATAGAGTGATTACAACAGACAGACGGACATCGCTAAATCGTCTTAGAATTTTACGCTGATCAAGAATATATATACGTTGTTGGGTCTAAGATGATTATATCGATGAGTTACAAACGGAATGACAAAATGAATATACCTTCCATAGTATGGTCTTGGGTAGCGTGTGCTGAGTGCGATAGTGCTGAGTCCTGTTGGAATGTCTAAGGTCTGTGGCCAAAATGTTAACGTCCCCAAGGATTTAATACACACACCAGAATATTTTCGCGATAATATACGGCATTTAATCTGAGACCACGGTTGATTAATACGAGCGGAAAGCGACCATCGGTTGTTATGGCGGTCCACACCATCACCATGGCCGGCCTCGAAGTCCGTTGCAATTGAATTGCAAGAATGATGCACAATCCGGAGTTGGAACAGCAACATGTGGCGTTAGGTGCTGCGGTGTTGGTTGCTGTTCTGGAGACTGCAGTGGAGTGCCATACTCCGACGACGTCTCTGATGAGGACCACGAAGAAGTGGACTCGCTGGGGACTACATTACTGTAGCAAGTCGCAACATAATCCCTTTCGCTGTAGTCTCGCAAACGCCTTAGTCCGGAACAGTTCTTGAAGTGCACCCATTCTCTGCATCCATTACATCGCACCGAAACAGATCTGTGGTGGATGACGTTCTGACAAACCGAGCAGAACCAAGGTCCTGGGGTTTCCTCAATCCCGGCACGGACCAATAAAATCCGGAGCAAGCATTCCGGGATATGCTGCTCCTAATGCAGAAAAATAAACAAACACAAACATGTACATACTGGGTTGGCAGCCGCTGGCCGAAACTGGGATCTTGTTGTTTCGGGTCAATCCGGTATCGTAGAACCCGCTGCCGTTACACCATTCTGTTCAGTACAGACATATCTCGCTTAAGCTAGTCTCTAGTGACCCATACATAGAATGCTATGCTACTGCTATCCCCAGTCAAGTGTGGAACTGCCGAGGTAGAGGTGCTTAATGTGTATATCCCGCCAATTAATAGCTGTGAACCGCGTTATTTGCCTGATATTAGCCCATTATTGGTAGGCAATAACCTCCTGGTACTAGGGGATTTTAATGCCCACCATGAGTTCTGGCATTCCGTCCTAGGTAATGACCAGAGGGGATCAGCGCTGGCAGAGCAAATTGACTGCTCCACATTCTGCACGGTTAACGAGGATGCCCCCACCCGAATAAGAGGAGAGTGTCACATTTCGCCAGACTTAACCATAGTGTCACCCGGTCTGATAAATGACGTGACTTGGCAACCCGTCATTTCTCTTGGCTCAGACCATCTCCCGATAATCGTCTCCATAAACAGGTCGCCCGATTTCATAACCTCTGAACGCAGCACTTTCCTTAACCATGGGAAAGCTCACTGGCCAGAGTTCAGCAAAACCCTTCTGATGTTCGGGTAACAGAAAGAATTTTCCGAAACATCATCAAAGCTGCAGCCGCTCGCTATATACCTGCTGGTCGAATACCCTCCGACCAAGTTTGAAACGTTGGATAATCAACTATATGTGTGGACGCCAGTCGTACGTGGAATTCCGGAACAAGAAGTCCAAAGCCCGTAGAGTGAAACAGGGAGTTCCCCAAGGTGGGGTGATACCTCCGGATCTGTTGAACCTCTACCTTTCCGGAATTCCTCGCTCTCCAGACGGCATTGACGCTACAAGAGAGAACCTCTAGATCAAGAAGCCTATCAGACAGGTCTGAGTGGCATTCACACCGATGCAGTGGCGGATGCTATTATGCAGTTATAAAGTGAATGCCGTCCTCGGAGTCCACCCCCCATCCATTGCAGCTGAAGAACGTCAGCTGCCTAGACAAACCAGGGTGGTTTTGGCGCAATTACGTTCAGGATGGTGTAGTCGTCTCAATTCGTATTGGGCACGAATTGATGAAGATGTGCGTGACGCCTGCCCGGCGTGCGATACAGGCCCGCACAATACGCTACACCTTTTTAATTGCTCAGCCAAACCCACCCAACTCACTCCAGAAGATCTCTGGCTACAGCCCGTTAAAGTAGCCGAATTTCTAAACCTGGAGATGGAACCAGATTAGCAGAACGCAAACACATACATGTACTACTGCTACAATAACAACAACCATGGCCGGCGCTTGAGTTGTGGTGGCCAACCGAAGGTACACATTTTCAGCTGGCCTTTTTGGCAAGAAACAACGATCATTTTGTTTGTTTACTGCTGGACAACGAATGTTTTCTAAACGGAGAAAACCAAATTTGGCAGCTCTTTTGAGTCTATTTTCTTTCTGTTGCGGTGTAAGTTCTTGCACCTTCTTGTTTTCTGGGGTTATAGCATGTTTTTTCATTCAATTTTTTAAAGATGAAAGATAGTATACTTTCAAGTGGCTATAACTCCTTAAATATTCACCCCTACTCTGTAAGACGTCGTCGACAGCTAACGTCGACGCCTTGTGTCGCCGTGTTAATTTTGGCACCCCTGAAGTCGTGTCGACAGCAGACGACGAGTACTTGGTACTCGCTAAGGCGTTTATACAACCATGTTGAGTCGACTCGACTTACTTTTGGGCGTTACGGTTTTTCTGCACGCCTTGTGACGCCTTGATATAAACAACTGTGTTTTTATTGATTTGTAAGTTGGTGAAAAAAAAAGAAAATGGAGAAAAAATTAAAAATGGAACGCAATTTGATTGCTTAATAAAAGAACTTGGGAAAAATCCAAGCCTTGCGGAAGGGTTCAGCAGAGGCTCTCTTCCATCCAATTTAAAAAAAAAATTGGGAAGATATTACAACAAAACTGAATCCTCCGGCAAGAGACAGTGATGGTTGGCAGAAGGTAAGGAATAACAGTATATGTACACAAATAATTAAACTTTCTTTGTTTTGTTTTAGGTTTGAAGAGATCTAAAATTCAAATTTAAAAAGAAAGTAGCCTTCAACAAGGCAGAAGGCAATGCAACAGGTGGAGGCAGATACATGCAGCTGCAACTTTCCCCGTTTGAAGAGGCAGTTGCGAGTATAATGAAATTTGAAAGCCAATTAACTCCTGATGACTACGTGTGTGGCGCCAAAAAGACCAGGGATTTTCTGTGGTACAGGGTGAGGAGGAGATTCGCTCAACACCAGCGTCTACACTTCGGTCTTCAAATGTTAAAGCCGAAGAATACTTTCCTACAGATGAGACATTCACCCACCATCAGCCTGGCAACATAAGTGCATGTGAGGAAGGTTGGTTGGTCGAGCGCGTTGAAGATGAAGAAAACATCTGCCCGCCGTAGTCATCTAGTGCTGTAACTCAAAAAAAGAATCAAAGAAAGCTGAAAGATAATAGGAAAAGCAGAGAAAGTTTATTTGAACTGCATAACAATATGCAAGAAAAGGTGTTGAATGAGATTTCCCGCACCATGAACTCAATCAAAAACACATTAAAAGACACCAAAAAAATTCAGGAAGAGGAGTTAAAATTACTAAAAAGACAAAATGAAATCGAAAAGGAAATAATTAAAATTAAGAAAGAGAAGTTGAAATTGTTAAGAAGAAAACATGAAAGAGAGGAAGAGTTGTTCCAAAACGAAGTGGAAATAAAGAAAATTGCGCTGGAAATCAAAAAGAGGAAGTTGCAAAAGCTGAATGAATCTGACCAATGAAGCCAAAAATTGTGATAGCTGCGCTTTACATAAATATTAATAAGTAGTACTTAGTCATTTTTTCATTCTATAAGAATGAATTTATGTATTTCATTTAAATTTTTTTATTTTTTAGAGTCTGAATTTAATTCTAAGTTTGAAATAAGAATGAACTTTTTTTTTAAGTTTTAATACATAAACAACGAATTTTTTTATTAAAATCAACAAACTTAAACAAAAGTAGATTTTATTTGGTCTCGTATTTGTGAAGCTTCAATACTTTGGATATTTTCGTCTTCATTCTCAACATTTTCATTGCTGAGTTGTACAGGTACATCTTCGCTTAGATCATTTACACCATATGCAATACAAATGTTGTGTAATGCTGAGCAAACATTTGCAATTTTAGTTGCCTTTTCACGCTTATAATGAAGTTGACGAGCGCCGAGTAAACAGCGAAAGCGATTTTTTAAAACACCAATGGTTCTTTCAATAATATTTCTTGCTTTGGCATGTTTATTGTTAAAAACAGCCTCAGCACTCCCTTCTTGAGAAGAACGATATGGCGTCATCAGGTATGGCTCTAGCGGATAGCCTGCATCACCTGCATAAAAATCATATATTAGTACGTATATGTAGAGTATGAAAACAAAACGAAAAATTTCTTATTTGAAAGGTTCGACAACCAAGGTTTGTGAATCGTTTTTTTTTTTTTTTTTTTTTTTTTTTTTTTGATATTCTGTTCTCATGGTGATGCATTTTACCTAAAATCCAACTATTACGGTCACCACCATCATAACGTTCGCGCAAAATTTGTTTGGCGTGGCTCATATTCCAAATCAAGGAGTCATGTGCTGAGCCAGCATGTCGAGCATCCAAATACCTTATCCGCATTTTGTGATCGCAAATCTAAGTAAAACTTAAATTAAAATCTTAATTGCACAAAATAATTTCATTACTTACAATCATAGCATTTAAACTAAAAAATCCTTTACGGTTATAATAAATATCTTAATGTGGGTCCCATCTATGCATCCAATGACGCCTGGAAACCCTGTTTTCAAAAAAAGCTAGTTTTGCTTCGGCTTTCTCATCCTCGGTGCCAAAAAGCGTAAAGTTGTAGCCAACTTTATTGTGGTGGACACAGAAGTTGACCGAATACTTTTCTTCATTTTCGGCTCAATAGTATCAAGCATGTATTTAAATGCTGCTTTATTGATGCGAAAATGGTTTTGAAACCTGTAGATAAATGATATATTTTATGAATGGCATGTATCATGACCCAAAATATAAAAACTATAAAACTTACTTGATATGTGGTAGGTTAAATATATCTGACCTTTGCCTTATAATTTTTCTTTGTATACGAAGGCTTTTTTCTGTTCTTCATCACTAGAAATAATAAATAAAATAAATCATTTTACCAAACAAATTGAAGAAAATTTTCTTTATTCGTTAGGGATTACACTTTTTGGTGGTAAATTATCGATACGCAGGCGTCACTGGCCGCGACGTCTTACAAAGTACCAATTTTGCATTCATGTGACAACGCCGACGTCATCGAGTGACAACGACTTTGAGACGACGACGCCTTTGGCGACGACTTACAGAGTAGGGGTGATTGACATTTCCGGGTTTTTAACATGCTTTTTTATTGAGTTTATTTTAGAACGGTCAGAGGTCCCTAAATATTGGCATTTTTGGGGTTATAGCATGGGTTTTCATTCAGTTTTTAAAGATAAAAGATAGTATACTTTAAAATTCAGGTCATTTGGACCGATATTGGCCATTTGCTGCACCATTATCCCAAAATCGGTTGAAGATATACATGGGAGCTATATCTAAATTTGAACCGATTCTCACCAATTTCAATAGGATTCGTCCATGGGCTAAAGAAATGTTGTTCGGGAAATTTCATTTCGATCGTGTAATAAATGCGACCTGCATTTTGTTAAGAAAAATACATGGACAGACGGACTGTTATACATAAATCGACACTTTCATTTTATGACGATCCTCGAAAGTAACTATGGATCTATCTCGTTTCCTTCTCCATCTTACAAACAAATGCACAAAGACATAATAACCTTACCACTATGTGGTGTAGTGTATAAAAACGTTTAATCATAATACTGCAACTTTGAAAATTACAGGCCAAACGAATATCGACCACTTTCATCTTTTTTTATCTAATACATATCTTACATAACCTCGAAAACTGACGAAATAAAAACAAAACAACATATTGAATATTGGTTTGAAATGTTGCTTTATTTATAACTTATAGTTTATGCAAATCTCGTGTTAATTTCACAGTTTCATTTAGATTTGTTCGTTAATTCTAAACAATTTCAAAAAACACAGGAATATGCGGTAAATTAAAATTATCAATACAAATTGGCAAATTATTGTTGTATCCGCTTTTTATTTTTCACATTTTTTTTAATAAAATCAGTCAATAATATAGAGATGCTTTACTTGTTTCTCACTTTTCCAATTTTATCTAAATAAAATCAATATATTTTTTGGTGTTTCTTGTGGCTCGGAAGCATAATGATTTGAGAAATATTAGGAACCAAAAATTAAAAAAAAAAAATAAACAATTTCAGTTTTAAACATTTTCGTGTAAAATTAAATGAAATTATTTTCAATGTGGCACTTAAGTTATGAAATAATTTGAACATTTTGCACAAATGAATTCGGTTTCGACTTGCTGGTCGATTTACGGCGGTGGTTGTATACATGAATTTGACAAAAGTAAATGCAAAAAAATAAAACAATTGATTGTATAATTTGTTTGAACGAATATTTGTTTTTGTTTAATGAAATATTAATTTCTATAGCAAATTGTATTTGTTTGTATGAAATCTGTATGTGACATATTGATGGAATATGTGTTTTTGTTGTTGTTGTATTTATTCATGCTATGTTCAGTTTTTATATGTTATGTTTTTTTATTAGCGATTTTAATACAATTAAAACCACGTTGGCTAAATTTTTGCATTAATTTGAGTTAATGTTCATAAAATGTTATGTTGTTGTTGCTTAGCTTACAGCTTTAATTTTCTTTTTTTATTATAAATTTACAGAAAGATCATAGCTTTTTAATGTCCCATGGACGCAGTTGCATCTACATCCATTTTCCTGGAATTCACTGTTGTTGATTCATTTTGGTTATTCGATAATTGATCTCCAGATTGAGCGCTTGCTGCTGCCCCCGTTGTGGATTTATCAACACCTGATGATTTTGTTCCATCTTCTCCATTTGCATCGTCGTCGTCATCATCTTCGTCATCCTCTTCTTCAATGAGTTTACGTGCTAATTTAACAGCCTCAAATTCTTTGTAGTGCTCTTTGCGACGTCGTTCAAACTCAAGTCGACGTGCTAAAAAGTACACAAGTGAAAAATGTTATTTAAATTAATAAAACTCTCAACTACATAAATAAAAGTAATAAATAAGTAAAAAAAATAAGAGTAAAAACAGAGTAATAAGCTCGCCACAGAATGAACACCGAGCTGGCATTGTATTATCAAAATAGTGACGAGTGTTAAATAAGCATTTACCAACCCTGAGTCGGGCTAGGAAAATGCAATCGGATCTAGAAAAATCAGGATTGTAGCTAATTATTGGAATTGTTGAATTAACCAAGGTCCAAGGTCTGCGACCAAAATGTTTGGCTTTAAGGCTTTAATACACGCTCCTGAATATTTTCACCATAATTTTCGGCATTTATTCTGACGCCACGCTCGATTGATACGAGCGGAGAGCGACCATCGGCTGTTATGGCGGCCCACACCACCACCATGGCCGGCGCTTGAGTTCTGTTGGCCAACTGAAGGTGCACATTTCCAGCTGACCTCTTTGGCAAGTAAACACGATCATTTTGTTTGTTTACAAACTGCTGGCCAACAAATATTTTCTCATCGGAGAAAACAAAATTCGGCAGTTCACTACTTTCGGCCAATCGAAGCAACTCTTTAGCTCTTTTGAATATATTTTCTTTTTGTTTTGGAATTTCAATGGCTTTACCCCGAGCTAATTTCTCAATATTTACCGAATGGAATATTGCGATATGTTCAGTTCACGACCCATTTTTGGGCCACTGCGACGCGGGTTTCGATCAAGTCTCTTCTTTACTTTTCGAACCATTTCTGCTGATATTGCTGTTTTCTACCGTCCACTTCCTTGATGTCGGGCTACGCTATCAGTATCACGGTAACGAGCGATGGTACGAGACACAAAAGATTTATTCACATTTAAATGCTGGAGTGCTCTAACATTAGCCACTTGTGGTTTTCCAGTCGAATATAAAGAAATCACATTATCACGCTTGAATTCCATCACGAATAACTTTTTTTCTGGAAAATTCTCACCAAAAAGCTTTTGTACGCTTGTAAACAATATAATGAACTGTCACTGGAATAATTTTAACAGCTGTCGGACGAGTGGTTTTGGAATGACAGCATCCTGAAGTTGGCAGCAATTTTTTCATCTCACCCTGTATATGGGAGCTATATCCAAATCTAAACCGATCTTTATAAAATTTAGCAGATGTATTTCTATACTGTATCTGATAGTTGACACCAAATATCGTTATTGTGGAGAGTATTTTACGGGTGTGAGGGAGTAAAATACAAAATAGGATGAAACATATATATGGGACCTACAGCTATAACTAAACGGATTTTTACCAAATTTGATAAACTTTCGTCCAGGCTTAATTCGTTTGAGTGTGCCAAAATCCATTCAACTCGAACTAAATCTAAACTGAACTAAACTAAATAAATCGAGTTAAGATATATAAATGGGAGCTATATCCAAATCTGAACCGATCTCCATGAAATTTTGCAAAAGTATTTCTGAGTTGTACTTGATATATTTCCCGAGTATCGTTGTTTTGAAGTGTATATTAGGGCTGTGGAGGAAAAATTTAACAAATTGAATGAAGAATATATATGGAAACTATAACTATATCTGAACCGTTTCCACCAAACTTGACACACTTGTTTCTAGACTGAATTTTGTTATATGTGCCAAATTCCGTCCTATTTGGGCTAATATTAAAAGGCAAATCGGGCGAAGTTATATATAGGAGCTATATATAAATTTTGACCGATTATCTCCAATGTGGATAGGGTTCGTCCTTGGACAAAACAAATGTTTTATGCAAAGTTTCATCTTGATCGGACAATAAATGCGACCTGTACTTTGTTTACAAAAATACAAGGACAGACGGACGGAAAGAGACTTAGAATGAATGGGTCAAACTCGCTTCCTTCTCTATGTTACAAAAAATGCACAAAGACATTATGCACTGACCACAGTGTGGTGTAGGGTATAAAAAATGTTAATGGTATAAAAATCACATATTGCCCTATTGTATACAAAGATTGTTAAGAAATAAGAGGCTAACATCTGAATTATGGTGAATTTGTTCTTAAGCGTATTAGTTATAAGTATTGTGCAACAAATTGTATTAACTCTGATAATTGCGGACTAGTAGCAATTTGTAATAGGCCATCAATTATTGGCATGTGGCTCAAGAGATATAATTTAAAATTGATTTTTCCACCTTCAGATATTAAGCTCAATTTTACTGCACCAGTTAGTAAACGTTGTACAATTAAATCTCTTTTAACTTTCCTTATAATCAGACAAATGATAATGTAAACACTTTTTATAAGAAAACATGACTAGTATCATTTTAAAACTTTCTTCTTCTTTCTTTTGTTCTTCTTTCTTTTGTTCTTGCTCTATTGGTTATCTACCTTTTTCTTCTGGTGTCTCCTCAAATTCTTCATCTGATAGTTCTTCTTCGTCATCAAAGGAAGGCGTTTGAGTATTGGCAGCAATGCGTAATCTAAAAGCAAAATAAACAACAAATGAAATTAAACAAAAAAATAAAAATTAGAAACAAACAAAAATTTGGTTATACTTTTCAGCTAATAATTCTGCATCCAATTGATCACGTTCTGGATCTGGTTCATTGTAAGTGTATGGCGTTTTGGGCTCATCGATTTTCATATGACCATAATCTTTGTCAGCTGGATGAAACGTTTGCAGCACGTTCAGTTCATCGAATTTAGCACTTTTACGGCTACTATGTAGAAAAACAAATATAAACAAAAGTTATCAGATCATAATCTAACATCGTCCCAGTAGACATAATGATGAAGTGTTAAAACGTAAAAATAGTATGTATCATTATTCAATTAGCTGTTGTTTTTTTAATTTGTTATTTGTTCTACAGCATTTTGATGGTCATTAAAGATAAGGTAATAAAATGAAATTATTTTAAAATTATCATGAGTAATGTATTTGGCATAGAAAAAGTAATCTGTGCAACAAGTAATTAAATAAAATCTATTTTTAAAAAGAGGGGGAGTATAACCATTGCAGATTGTGACCGTAACTTCTCATAAAATAATTATATTAAAACAGAAAAACATGCATATGAATAGCTCACCTTGCGCCAGTACGATCGAAACTGCTTGATGTTTTTAAAATTCCCTTTTTTGGCCGTTTATTACTACCGCTTGGGCCACTGCCGCCAACTGCATCAGCGTTACTTCCATTCGATACACTCTGCATTATTGTTCACCTGATAACACCACAACTCTACACTTTGAACAATATGTGTACTGTAATTAGGATAATTGAACACTGCGTTTATATTGTCAATTGACAGATGACAGGTATTGCACACTACTGCGAGCTAAAAATAAAACAGGAAATTTTTAATAATAGAATATTGTTTGCACTATAATATAGAACAAGTTGTATTTACGAGAAGTTGACATAGTAAGACTACATGTTGTCTTCTTTTGCAGTCAAACCCTATTTTGATTTGAATAGTAAAAGAGCAGTAAGTTCGACCGGGCCACATTTTGAATACAATTGAATAAAAATAAAATCCATTAAAAATTCTGTTAAAATCTTAAAAATGCCGAATATCGGAAGGTGCCGATATGTGGGAGATATACGATATTGTGGACCTATGTAGACAATTCTCTTTCAGAGTGTAAAGTACTCACAACGAACACCTTGTGTAGAATATCAGACAATTCCATTGAAAAATGTGGCTAAAATCATCAAAATCCCGAATTAGGGTATTTTGAGGCTGTACGATATCGTGGACCTATATAGATAATTATCTTTCAGGGGATAAAGTACTCACGGGAAACTCTTTGTGTGGATTTTAAGACAATTCCAATTCTAACAAATACCGTATATCGGAAGGTGCCGATATATAGGGGATATGCCTTGTTGATCTCTTACAACGCGATAGGTCGGTCTGTGGTAAATTATGTGGCTCCAGTGTGATCTGCCAATGTAAGTGCCTCCTCATAACACCTGTCGATACATTTGCATGAGGAGGCGATGGTCTTACCTGTTCTATAGCATAATAAAATGGTAGCATAATTTAATGCTGGCCTATTAAACTGGACTGAATGGTATTCACTCTGACGCGGCCGCAGAAGTCAAGGCGGAATATAGGATGGATACCGTACTCGAAGACCATCCCCCTCCCGTCACAGATGAAGAGCTAGAGTTGCCCCAACCAGCTCGTGAACAATTAAGATCTGGATGGTGTAGCCGCCTCAATTTATATGGGGCCTGGATTGACAGTAATGTGCAGAACACCTGCCCAGTATGTAGCACAGCTCCACATGACACGCTGCACCTCTTTCACTGCCCAGCCAAAGCTACTCAACTATCTCCAGTATATAGGTTGCATCCTTTCTGAGGCTGAACTTAGAATCAGAACCAGATTAAGATGAGTCAGAACGGACAAAGAGTAGCAGCTGCTACAACTGGGAACTGAAAATTGTGGAGCTGGTTTTTGAGAGAGAAGGTTTCAACTTCAAATTAAACCATTTATACACATTACTTTAAAAACTAAGATCCCATAATAAATATTATACGGAGCCACATCCTAATAAAGTCATGACACATGGGATAATTTCTTTAACATTTAAATAAATTCCTTGAATTTTTAACACACAAGGAAATGAGAATGTCCAGCACACACCGTTATAGCCCTCATATATTACTTTCTATGATTTCATCCCTATTGTGCAACAAATGTGTAATATTATTTAGCAAAACATCCCATATATATGTTTTAGCCAAATTCTCATTAAAGTATGATTGAGATGTCATGCAAAAAGTTGGATAAAAAATTTGTGCCAATGGTTGGGTGAAAATGCCATGTCAAAGGTCAGGAAATAATGTCTAGGATCCGAAAATGATTTGGATCTTTTGTCTGCCACTCTCTTGTAAAAAGAATGAGTGAAAGAACCAAAAAGAGTGCCAACCAATAATTGAACCACATCGTTGACATCGGACAAACAATTTCAGTGGTAAGACTGTTTAGCTAAAATATAATTTATATATATAATTTATAATTAGCGAAATAATTTTGGAATATGAACATATATATAAACAAGCTGAACATGGTGCACTTCGCTACCCCTTTTGATTTTATATGCATTCAAAATTTTATATAAAACAAATTCAAAAATTTAATTAAAAAACCTAATTATTGTAATACTTTAATGCGTAAACAAACAAATAGCTCGATCTACCAACGCGTGAACAGCTGGCCATGAGAAAAGCAGGAACATGCCAAATTTAGTGCGCATACACGAAAGGTTTGTCTTTCGGATTTATTAATTTCATAGCAAATGCCAAGGGTACAGAAAACTGCAATGTTTTGAAGTTGAGAGATATTTCTGTTGCTATTAGAGAATTCGAGGTAGCAACATACTTCCCCGTAATAATCGTATCCCCAATTAAATTGTTGTGTGTTTTTTACTGTTAGCCAATACCATTGCAAAAGCGTTGTGGGTCAATGCTTCTTAATAAAATCATATCCCAATCTGAACCGATTTCAATAGAATTTGACAAAATTTACTTTTACACTAAATTCCGTCACATCTTCCATATTTCATTGAATTTGAGGTAAATCGGCCGAAAATATATATGGAAGCTATATCCAAATCTTAACTGTTTTCTAATTAATTTGTCAAATTTAATACTGTAACCAAATTCCTCCACACATTCTGAATTTCATTGGAATTGGACATAGATATCGTGTTTGGTGCATAACATACATGAAATCGACCGAAATATATATATAGGAGCTATACCCAAACCTCAACCGATTTCCATATAATTTGGCAATTTTTTTGGTACTAAATTCCGTCACGTGTCTGAATTTCATTGGACATCGGACATTGCGTTGCGTGCATCAAATAACTAAAATCGGCCGAAAATATATATGGAAGCTATATCCAAATCTGAACTGATTTCAATATAATTTGGCAAAGGTATGTTCATTCTAAATTCCGTTACATATTCCAAATCTCATTGAAGTTAGAGATACATAGCGAGTTTAATGCATCAAACACATGTGCATATAAAGTCTATATCTCCGGTTCCAAGTGGATTTTAAAAAATGTATATAGCCTATGCCACTTTCAGGCAATGTTTTAGTATACTTGGAAGTTTTCAGGAAAATCTGTGCAGGGGTTTTCGAGTCTATAAATTACAAACAAACATACAAACAGTTTCCTCTTTTATAGATATAGATTAGCCTCAAACTATAGAGACAAAAGAAATTAGCTTATCTTTATATCTTTAACACAAAGAACAGTCAAACAAAATTATATGGTGTATATAAGTATTTAGTATTTTTATTTTTTAATAATGTTTATATATTAATAAAAACTATAACAAACGAATTGATATTTTTTATATATATAGGAATAATAAAATCAAGAAATAAATATTTTTGTTTTAATTTTATTTTTACTCAACACAATTAGTACTATTTATTTTTATATTCGTGTATTGTTTTCTTGTTGTTTTTTTTTATTTGCATATAATATTATCGTTATACATTATCGTTATATTCTTAGTTATTAAAAACACACATTTTTTCAAAAAAAAAAAGGGCGCTTAATAAATTGCATTTTACTGGTATAAAAAATACATAGGTTCTGTTGTATACGAGATTATGGGAAGGAATGGAGTTTGGAACATGTGGAAAAGTTGCAAAAAACAAGCAAATCAAAAAAGTTACAAATATTTTTTTATTTTGCTTATATAAATAAATGCACGTTAAAAGAACTAATTAAGGGCTATTATGGAAATTTGAAGTTGGCAAAAATAAAAAAAATAGTATTGCTTTAAAATGAATGTACACAATGGATCGCACATAAATATATGTATATACTCTCACTCGTATAATTGCTTGTAATTTTATTGTGCTGTATCTATTGGCAATGGATGGCTATCTTTTATATATGAATTTCTGTATACATTCTGCATTATTATATTAAATATATGTATCTTAAAATTAATCGTAATACATAATTTGATTGGTGATTTATAAAGTTTCATTTTATTTGGGGAAAAAGCTAATAAAAATCCAACTACTAGACATTACTACAGTTATTGCATCTTCAATGTGCTTAGTATTCATATGTATGCAATTTAATTAGAAGATATTTTTTAAACTATATACATAAACAAAATTTAGTTCAAAGTGTTGAAGTCCACATTATTTGGCACATTATCCGGTTACAAGGAGCTTGTCTACTTGTAGCAAATATTTTGCTTACATATTTGGGTAGGAGGTGTTTGCTAGTTTTGAAAGTCTATTGTATATATTCTGTTGATTAAGCAGGTAAATTGAGTTAACTCTAGATTTTTATTTTGATTAAGTTTAAGAGAATGAAAAGGTGTTAAGGAACATGTCTGTTCTGAAGAACAGAAGACTGAAATATTGTTATAGAAAAAAGATTTAAGTTGAGGAATCTTAAATGGAATAGTAGATTTTAGATTTTAATAGAATTTAACTCAGAAGATAATATGAAGATGATGCAGAAAAATGATAAAAACAGGACTAGACAAAAAAATTTTTTTTTCCAATTGCAATGAACGAAATTTGTCGGTAAGTTGGCGACGAGATTAAAGTAGTCTACGAAAGACACAATTTTATAAACAACTAATTTAGATCAAGTGTTGGAGAATCTCACAACAAATTTCAATATATTTGAGAATCACATTGCAGATTCCTACATATTTGATTTGAAAACACCCTGACCATTTTATACTATATCAATGGTTGACTTTTCGCCAAAATTTATATGGGATATACAGGGTGGGAGGAGAAACTGCAACTGCAAACTGTAATTTCTAAGCCACTTGTCCGTCAGTTGTTAAATTTTTTCCAGTGACAGCTTATTATATAGTTTACAAGCGTACAAAAGCATTTTTGTGAGAATTTTTCACATGGCAATCGCGCGTCCTTTAACCTAACCTAACCTAACCTATTCGTGATGGAATTCAAGCGTGATAGTGTGATTTCTTTATATTTGGCTGGAAAACCACAAGTGGCTATCGTAAGAGCACTCCAGCATTTAAATGTGAATAAATCTTTTGTGTCTCGTTACCGTTATACTGGTAGCGTAGCCCGACGTCAAGAAAGTAGACGGAAGAAAAGAGCAACATCAGCAGAAATGGTTCGAAAAGTAATGAAGCGACTTGTTCGAAACCCGCGTCGCAGTGGCCGAAAAATGGCCCGTGAGCTGAACATATCGCAATATTCCATTCGGCAAATATTGAAAAATGAGCGCGGGGTAAAGCCATTAAAATTCCAAAAAGAAAATAGACTCAAAAGAGCTAAAGACTTGCTTCGCCTGGCCGAAAGTGGTGAACTGCTGAATTTGGTTTTCTCCGATGAGAAAACATTTGTTATTCAGCAGTTTGTAAACAAACAAAATGATCGTGTTTACGTGCCAAAGAGGTCAGCTGAAAATGTGCACCTTCGGATGGCCACCAGAACTTAAGCGCCGGCCATGGTGATGGTGTGGCCTGTCTTAACAGCCGATGTTCGCACTCCGCTCGTATTAATCGACCGTGGCATCAGAATAAATTCCGAATATTATCGCGAAAATATTCTGGATGGTGTATTAAAGCCTTGGGCACCCAAACATTTTGGCTGCAGTCCTGTTGACTCAGCACGATCGTACTCAGCACGCGCGACCCAAGAATAGTTACAAAAATAGGTTCCTTTCTCCATTTCCAGCGCACAATGGCCACCAAAATCTCCGGATACCAATCCGTTGGACTATTGTGTCTGGAGTATTTTGGAAAGCAAGGTTGGCACTAAAAAATACCAAAGTGTCTATCACCTCAAACAAATCTAAACTTATTCTATGCCAAACTTATTCTTATCCTATTTCCGACATTTTTTGCTTTCATTCAAAAATATTAAAAAAAAAATTAAAAATTGTGGCGTTTGCCTTTTTTGCAATTTTTTATCGCACCCTGTATTTAAGAATCACATTGCAGATTCCTACATATTTCATTTGAAAACATCCTGACCATGCCATACTACATTCATTGTTGATTTTCCGGAATATACATTCTATGAAGAATCTAAAAGAACTAAGAAATGTAATCTGCATCTTGGGGACAAAGTCCATCATTACAATTTATCAACTCACATACTAGTTTCCTTAAAATCACCTTAAAATTCTCAAAAAAATTATCTTTAGATTATTAAAAACAAAAAACAAATCGTTACAAATATTTAGGAATTTGGATATTTATACAGTTGTGACGGATACCATATTGCTATTAAGATTATTGCGCTCGTTCGATGTGGCTGCCATCATGTGATTGCCAGGCGTTGGATTAACGGTCACTGTTGCCGACATATTGGTCACATTATCACTTTGTTCAACAGCACCTACGCCACACGTGCTACCATCATCATGCAAATTATTGGAAGCTTGTGATGAATAATTAAGGGATGATTTATGCTTTTGTGCTGCTGCCTCCGCTTGAGCCGTATTGAATTGTAACTGATAATGTTGTCGATATTTTTGACGTGAAAAGCTTAAAAAATGGGGCTGGTTATCGGTTACCGTGGCATCTGCTGTTTTATTCAACTGCTGTTGCAATTGTTGCTGATACTGCATTTGTTGCTGCTGACGACGTTCCTTGGCCTTCTCAATGTGCTTCTTGCGTTCCTCTCGTGTCCAATATCGTCCAGTTTTTATTTCGGACATTGTATCATCTTCTGTTGTTGTAACGTCATCCCTCAAACGTTCCACGTTGAGCCGAACACTACGTTCTTTGATTACACGACTTTTTGCCGGCCGCCGTACTATGTAACGTGTGCCGTCTGGTCGTCGTTTGACCTTCCACACCATGGCCTCTTCTTCGCCATCCTTCTTTACATTACTACTACTAGCTGCCGTTTCAGCTACTGTGGGGGAAGACTTTGGTATTTTATTGTTAAGAGACAAATTGTTTACCTCTTGACTGCTAACAAAATGGTATTGACTCAAATTGGGTGCCGTGAACTGGGGGCAATGCATTTGTTCGTTATTTGTTGCCACTTGATGTTGATAGTATGACAACTGTTGGGGTGCACCTATCTTGTCGATGCTCAAAGGTGATTGCTTTATTAAATGTTGCTGTACCATTGAACTTCGTTGAATGTTAGTCGTATCATTGCTATTATATGTTATGCCACCGCTGGATTTTCCGCCAATACCAATGCTCTGCTCAACAAAAGGCAGTTTGTTGGCACTTTTTGGACTTGTTATTTTATTTTTGTCTTTTGGCGACAGTATCTTAGTTTGATTGGCTAGCTTATGTTGTTGCATCAATATTTGCTGCATTGCCATGACATCATCTGTTGATGTGGTTGCCGCCAAAGATGGTACCCCACTTGGTGTGTTAGTGTACACGTCTGGGCCACGAAGTTTTCCCGTTAACACTACGGAATGAGGGGACACACTGTTATTGGACCCGCCGGTATTATATGCACTCGACGAATTATCTTGATCGTCAACTTGAGAAGCTGGCAATGTCATTGCAGAACCAATACCTCCATCCAGCGATGATCCATTGGTGAGTGAGGTCACTGTGCTGCGCATTGTACCCACTGAGCTGATTTTATGGCGACTCTTTAAGCTACGTCCGCCGCCTCCACTTGTGTTACGACCCGCATGACGCGGTAATGCTGTATGGCAAATGCCATGGGAGGGATTTATACCCAACCACTGGACCACTCGCTGTTTATGCTGTTGCATTTGGTGTTGCAATGCATCGGTCATGGTTGAGGAGGAACATGAGGCTATGGCAGTGACATACACAGAGCTGTCGTAGGGCGAACAATAAAACGGCTCCGATTCGGGATCTTCGGGAATAGTTTCGTAAATGTGTTCAGACTCATAATAATCACTTGTTTTATTTTCTGCTGCATTGCGAGTCGAAGACGATATGGATTTGGTGGCAGTGTCCATATTTGAAATGACATTTGTGGCAGTGGCTGTGAGATTTGTTGAATTGCTATTTTGTCTTAACATACTAGAGGTTTTCCGATCATTCTTGGGAATTTTGGTTTTCTCTTTAGGCATATTATTGGCAGCTGGTTCAATGGTTTCATTGGTCGGCTCTTGATGCTGTTGCTCCACCTGAGACAACAAAGCCTTATCGAAATCATCCACATTGTTAAGGCAGCAATCGTTGTTGGTCATGCAGTTTACGTATGTCATATTGTTCTCGTCATAATATTCCTCATCATCGTCATCTTCATCATCTTCTACCACCAACACCTCATCGTCATCTTCATTTGTAGACGGATCGTTAAAATCATCTTCTCCATACAAATAACGACTCACTAACAGGGTTACAGCATTATTGTTTTCGGCAATCAACGTTTCCGTTTCTTCCCTGGTGGTTATGTCCTTGCCATTTATCTGTAGAATCTGATCTCCCTGCCGCAGACGTCCATCTCGACCAGCGACACTGTCAGCGTGTATATCACTTATATAGACCTCAGTAACACTAGAACCTCCATATACTTCATTTCCACTGCCACCACTTCCAGCGCCCCCATCTACACCACTTTCTCCATACTCTTCACCATTGCTGTAGCAAACCGTCAGACCCAAACGTTCATGACTGTGCGTCTTGCGCAACGTAATTTCCTCAATGTCAATTTCTGGTGCCAAACTTTGTTCGAACAAATTGTGCTCCTCCTCAATGAGGCGCTCGGTGTCCTTTTGGATGTTACGTAATTGTTCGTGTACATAGTAGGCCATGTCATCGGTTTGGGTGGACTTCGATTGAACAAATCCCTCATCAGACACTGTATTTGGAAAATATAGATTCATTATAATTTCCATTGGTTTCGGCGCCGGTGAGGAACCATCATTATTCGTCGTTCCTTCAACATTTGTTGCCAACGTTTCATCACTATCGACATTCTGCTGTATCTTCAGATAGCAAATTCTTTTGCTTATCTCTGTCTCTTCGTTGTCTCCGACTGCCGTAGACTTGCTAGCCCAGTAGCCTGCTTTTCGTTTTAGTTGCAACACAACATTTTCCTCGGGATTTTCAGTGAGCAATCGACCCAATGCAGCGACGTCTCTTTGCTCCTGTTGCAATTGACAAATATCCGTGTCATTTATCTTTAATAGAACAAAATGTAGATTGCCCGTCATCATCATCACCATCCCACTCTTCCTACTCCTGCTGTTTCCGTTCAACGACACACCAGCACAAGCTTGCGTGAGTGTGTATGTGGGTTTCACAGATCAGATACCAGGCCAATATTAAAAATCCTCTAAACTCTAAACGCTGGTAGTGATAGATTTTTTTCGGCACATCTACAAAATATCCATTGTGCTTTCATTTAGTGTCCCTGCATTTTTCTGCCAGTATTTGTGCCTTTTTCCATAAAATTTTCACAACTTGGACGGATTTGTATAATTGTTCTACCGAAATAAATCTACACAAAAAACTTTTGATGTTGCCATTCGGAATTTTTTCGTCTTCAGATTCTTCTCCTAATTGTGTGTATGTATGTATGTGAGTGTGTGTACGAAACAAAGAAAATAAAAGGAAGATACAGTGTTGCCAGTGTTGGACACAAAAGAAAAAGAGAAATGACAGTTACCAGATCTTTTTACATCGGCACATGTGGCATGTGGCATCAACACCATAGGAAACGACACAGGCGTTGTGACAAAAAACTGTGACTTAATTATGGGGGCCTTAATGAAGACTGTTTTTACTTTGCATTAACGGAATAAAGTTCTGGATATTCTTTTACATTTGTTATAAATTCCTATAAATAATTCTGGGATATTTTACAATGACTTTTTTCTATAAATCGTAAAAAAGAAAAACGAAACAGATATTTTTAACTTCGAAGTGCGTAGAAAAAATGCAACTCCGTAGCAATATCAAGGGCAAGTTAACTTGTGGCAAAAATTGCTCGTATTGGCAATTTTCCAGCAATTAATAACATTGGTCAATAATACAACAAAATCTAGCTCTAGTGTACTGCTCAGTTAACGAAGCACGTGTAGGAATATAGGTGAAGGAATAACTGGTTAAAAAACAGTAAGTTCGGCCGGGCCAAACTTTGAATATCCTCCACCATTTGGAACAAATTTGGAAATTTTTATAAAAAATAAAATTATTAAAAAATGCTTTTAAAATCATAAAAAATACCGAATATAGCCGTTATATTGAGGTCTATAGGACGTGAACCTACATAGGTATTATTTGTCATAAGCCATTTCCATATTCAAATTCGAAACTTGAAATAAACGATGAATAATGACACTAAAATCAACAAAATACCGAATATTGGGAGGTACCGTTATATGGGGGCTATATAAAGACATGGACTTGCATAGACAATTTTCTGTCACAGACTGTAGTTCCCATTACAAACTCTAAATACATAATTGTAAACAATTCCGGTGAATAACGACACTAAAATCAACAAAATACCGAATATTGGGAGGTACCGTTATATGGGGGCTATACGAAGACGTATAGGCTGTCATAGGCTGTAGTATCCATTGCGAATTTCAAATACCAAATTTGAAACAATTCCGGTGAATAATGTCGCTAAAATCATCAAAATATCAAATGTCGGGAGGTACCATGGGGGTAATAAAACGTGGTCATGCACAGACAATTTTCTGTCATAGGCTGTAGTATCCATTGCGAACTTCAAATACCAAATTTGAAACAATTCCGGCGAATAATGTCGCTAAAATCATCAAAAAACCGAATATCGGGAGGTACCGTTACATGTGGACTATATTAAAACGTGGACCTACATGACCCATTTACGAACCTAACCTGCCTACTGGCAAAATAAACATGTGTACAAAATTTTAGCCTTCTATCTCAATTCGTTCTAAAGGTATCGTGATTACAACAGACACACGGACGGACGAACTGACAGACATACGGACATCGCTAAATCGACAATAATATATATACTTTGTTAGGTCTGACGTGACTATTTCGAGGAGTTACAAACAGAATGACAAAGTTAATATACCCTCCATAGTATAGTGGAGGGTATAAAAATTGGTAGCATAGCCTATATAAGGTCGGCCAGGAAGACTACCTTTAACAACCATTTGACAATAAACTTATTATTATTGATTTGTCTCTCTTTGAATTTCAAATTACAATTGTGTTTTTGACAGCAAACTTGGTTGTCAGATGGGTTTTACTGGCCGACCTTATGTAGGCCTTGATTAGTAGGCTTAGTTGCTTTTTGTGTCTGTCAGGTCTTGAGTTATGTTATATTTTTGATGCACACTAAACTTTAACCACATAGGTCTCAGCAGTGTACCGGACGTTCGTTGAACATCTTATACTCGTAAACGTCCAAGGCCAACAGAGTTTCCCAGAACTGCTAATGCTATATTGTTATTGGTGTAATGTAATAGCTTTTTGTTTTTATAAACTCTCTTATGCATATTTCAATTTTTGTATTTAGTATTTTTTTTGATATTTCTGAAATAGCTAATCTATAGGCTAAGTTGTTTTTTCAACAGTCACGGCCTCTTAGACTTAACAATTTGAAATAAATAAATAAATATATGACAATATTTTAATCTTTAATATCCAAACATTGTTAATTAAAATCAATATTGATGTGCCCCGCATTTGAGAGAAAAAATAAGCCAAATTGTTACTTTCAAATCTAAAAATAAATACCTCAATTATTTACACAAAACTTTGATCTAAGCTTTGCTTTTAAGTAGAGGCCAACATGGATTCTAATCCATAGGAATCTAGAACTAATAATTACGCTAAATAGTTTATGCGTTATATGTTGGCTATGCCTGCCTATAGCAGCGTTGGCCAGACAAAGTTCACACGCATACGGGAAAAACTATTCAAAATTGGACAACTTTATAACGGTATTCCTTGGTTATCGGTATTTTTAAGTGTTAATTTGATATTTTAGCTTTTAAATGGGTAGTTTAAATCCCTTTGTTTCTTCCTGGCCATCGCAACATATACGGCAATGAAGCAGCGAATGAAATGACAAGAAGCGGAATCGATTCAATCGACATGGATCGGTAATGCCTACTTCTTCCGATTAATGGATAAACACTACTCCGTAAAGGTACAATAAAACTGGTTTAACGTCTCGAAGACATTTTGCAAGCGCTTCGCGGGGAATACCACAGCGCAACATTCGGGCAGCGTGTGACGGTTTCATTGGCCGTTTGAAGGCCATAATTTGTGCCAAAGGTGACCAATTCGAACAAATCTAAACTTATTCTAAATGTTTATGGAACTTCCAACATTTTTTGCTTTCACTCAATAAAATTAAAAAAAATGAAAAATTTTGGCGTTTGACTGTGTTGCAGTTTTTTTTATCCCATCCTGTACAAATCTACTCATTTTTTCAAAAAAATAAATAAATATTTTAAATAAATATTTGACATAGCTGATGCATATCTAATGACTAAACAATTCACTCGCACACCTAACTTTCCCACTCTTGCCGATAGAGTGAGAAAAGCAAGCTTCTCATAGGAAATGCGTACTCGCCATGGTCAGCATCATAATGGAAATTGAGTAGTAAATTGAAACCCAGCTACAAAATCTACTTTATCAGATTGCTTATTAATACAACATAAACGTTAAACATAATCGTTTAAAAATAAAACTAAATCTAATAACTTCTCAACTCATACTAAAATCTACATATTTTTTAGTATCATCATTGGGATCATTCTATTATGTCTACTTTTTAGTGTAGGTAATCTAATTAATTTTAACATGTTAGTATAAAAAGGCAAAACAAAATCACTACTACAGTGTAGATTTCTCAAAGCAAAAATCAGAAATCATTAGCTTGTTTCTCAGAATTATGAGTAATGAATGACTTAACATCATCTACTTACATAAAGAATTTCGAATAATTTATAAAATTATGAACATTCGCATTTTCTAATACACATGCAGCATTTTCGGCTGGTCTTTTTGTGGTGAACTCCGCCCTCTATATACCCAGGTAAAATCTATCATCCATCAATTTTAATCAAACTGAAAACAACAGTACAACTGCAGAACTCTTAATCGATAATTTATATAATATCAACATTAAATTCCAACAATTTATACAAAATTGAAGACTTTTAATTTCAGTCCTTCATAATGTGCTGACCAGTTTTAGCTCTGCTAATTATGTAAAAAAACTCGATTATAATCATCGGTAAGGCAGCAATAACGGCACAGTGATTCTTAAAATTATTATTGGGATTCAAATATTTACAATAACGAAAAAAATTTACCTTAATATCGTGAAAACCCCGAATCCCCCTTTTCATTCTAAGTTGAAGAAAATTGATATCGACATTTTGGAAATAATTGCGAGTTTTCCATGTTTAATGCACTTGACCTTCAACCATAGACGTGCAACATTTACACGTCAATTAGTAGTAAATAAAGCAGCCGCAATAAGGAATCGGTGCCTTTTTGACATTACAACTGCATTTGTACTCGGAATCAAGAGCGCAAAGTAAACATGAATGGCTGCAAGAAAACAAAAACAATGCTAACCAAAATAACAAAAAAACTAAATTCTTTTGATTTCAAATTACCCCAACAACTAAGTGGATTAACAAAAATAAGCAACACGGCGACGACACATTCATTGTTGCTCGCTCGCCAAGGAGGTGGAAGAAGGTGTCGTTTGGCGAACAAAAAAAAAAACACAAAAAAAAAAACAATATATATTTTAGCACATCAATGGAGGCCAGCGTAATGTTGTTGTAGTTGTATTACTTGCATACCTATACTTAATGTTAAATGCAAACCAGAATAAAAATACGGCACAGCATATTGCGATGAATCAGAATTCCACCAAGTAGTGGGTGGCAAGGGCAGAAGCCAGGAGTTAAAACCGAAATTTACAGACAAAAGAAGAAATCATTTCGTAATCAATGACCCATCAACTCGCCTTTAATTAATGACAACATTAACTTAACCCTCCCCAAAAAAAATTTATCTACTTCAATACATTTACTTACGTTTGTGTCCACTTACGATAGCACCATACGTATTATTTGCACAATTCACCAAATTCGTATTGTTGATTCAATTACAGTCACAATCTGTGCTTTATGGCCAATAGTTGAAAACAATAATTAATGAGATAATAACATTTGTTTTCTAGTAGCAGAATATATATTTTCACAACAATTGCTTATACTTTGCAAGGTAACTTGAACTTTATTAAAATCTTCGGTATCAGAAACGTCACACCTATCGTCACGCACATTTGTCCCATAAACGGCTTTAAATATCCACCAAATATTTCTAAAAATATAATGTTTATTTTTATATTTTCTTGTTATTTCCACAAATGGACCGCACGATATTGTCTCAACTCTTAGTTTTTCCGATTTTCTCACATTGACAGATTCTGATTGGCTTAATAATGTTGTTGTTTGTTTTGTTTGACATTTTATCGAGACACAGAGTTGCATATTATTGTTACACTGAAAGAAATAAATGATGAACTAAAGTGAATTAATTAGTGCGCAAAGTAACGTAACA